TGATCTTCAGAAATCATTCTAATATGCTGATTTATTATTAGAATTATCAACAGTTGTGCAGCCAAATATTTTTAAGTTACGCCTTCTTTCTTTGCGTGAACGTTTGGGCGGCGTTATGCAAATCTTCTCACATCGTGACGTAGACATGTGGGGTGTGTTAGAACGAGCCGTTTTAGGTAGGCGTGGCTGACTCTTAACTTTTATAAAGAATATCTCTTTGGATTTGAGACTTTAGTCTTTGCAACTTTACAGATCTTCTTTATGCACCAAGAGCTTGTAACACTCCAAAGAGAAAGGAAAAATTGAAATCGCATCATATGACCCCTTTAAAATTTTTTGAAAGGAGTCTCTTCTGTTCACCAAGGCAGCATTTAGTTAATCAAAAATACAGTAAAAACAGTAATAATGTGAAATATTATTATAATTTAAAATAACTAATTACTATTGTAATATATAATAAAATGTATTTCATTCCTGTGATGTAAAGCTGAATTTTCAGAAACTATTAGTCCAGTCTTCAGTGTCACATGATCCTTCAGAAATCATTCTAATATGATGATTTGCTGCTGACCCCAAAAGTTTTTTTTAATGCATTTTTTTGCATTGCAGTATTAAGAATTTAGAGTTTAAATGTGCTTAATTGTAAATATACAATTAAATCTTACAATATGCTTCATTTTCTTGAATAGCATATAATTTCTTCAGATTTTGGGGTGAAATATAACACGTTCTTAACCAGTTTAGGAAAAGCATGTCCTGATGCACGTACGTTAAATATGGGCATGGTCTGTAACAGGCCGTCCATGCGTCTGAACACAGAGCTGCTCTCCGCCCGCAGAGACGCCTGTTTGGACAGCACCTGACGGGCTTCATCCATACGGCCCTGCAGGACTAAACTGATCACCTGCGCACACACACACACACGTAAGGACACGGATGATGATGTTCAGATGTTCTGGAGGTCAGAGGTCACGCGTTTCGTACCACGTCCCAGTAGGACTGATGCTGAGTGGGGCTGTCGCTCTGTAACACCTCTCGCGCTTTCGCGTCCACGTCCGACTTGTGCAGACGCACCCAATCCAGCAGCTGGAGCAACAGAGATCCGGCTGCAACATCCCAACAAAATCAAGTCAGAAAAAAAGGATAAAATTGCCTGCTCGAATCTAGGTTTCTGACAATTTTAGACGCCTCTACCTGGCGCTGCGTCGATGAAGAGAACCTCACACAAGTTCCATATGAGCTCTATCGCCAAGAGAATAGAGACCTAGAGAGATCAGAAGACCATTCAACTTCAATAATTTGACGTATTTCTGAGTCAAACAAAATATTCATTTAAGAACCATAAGGACAGGACTTTATTTTATCCATCAGGGTTTGTTAGATCACAATATTATTTTTCTCTGCTCATATGACCTTCATTATGTCAGCAGAAAGATTGTTTCAGAATCAGAGCAAGATGTTATATTGCAATAAAAAAATATTACAAAGATATGTTTACCTTTAGAAAAACTCATTTAGAACTTTTTATTAATTTATTATTATTAAAATACAGAATGCATAAATATGATGTTTTTGTTGTTGTAATTTATCATAAATTTATCTTTATAAAGCATATAAAATAATAGTTAGAATGCATGCTAGGGATGTATCGATTAACCGCGAGCCGGTTGAAAATCGATTCAAATACGTGACGATTCAAATCGGTTGAGATGCTAAACAAATCGCGATTCATTTAGGGGTAGGAGTTTATATGAATGCATGTCTGAGGGGAACTTACTGTCTTTAGAAAAGTTTAGATGGTATTTTTTCTTTTCATCTTGCCTCTGTATAATGCATATTAAAGTTCATAAGTGCAGCTCTGCTTTGTTTACAGCGGAAACCAAGGAAACGCTTTAAGCGCCACCTGCTGGCTGAGAGTGAATCTGCGTCTCATTCAGTCCAGCTTTCATGCAGATACTTTTATCCAAAGCGACTTACAAATGAGGACAATAGAAGCAATCACAATCAAAACAAGAGTAATTATATGCTATAAGTGCTATATTAGTATATTATTATAGTGTTATATTTCAATTTCACAAAGAAACGTGCAGCATTTTGTCCAAGCAATAATAAAAGGACACATTTAATTTATTTGTCTTCAATCTCATTTTGTAAAAAAAAAAAAGTTAATCGAATCGTGAGTTGAGTGAATCGTTACATCCCTAATGCATGCACACTGTTTTAATTTTGTAATCTAATGATTCATTTATCTTTATAAAATAAACAATATTCAGATCGCATGCATATTGTTTATGTTATAATCTAATGATTGCTTTATAAAATAAAGCATAAAAAATTATTATTATTGAAACAATGTTTTTAAAACTGAAACTGCATATCAATTAACAAACAACAAAATGATAAAACTATCTGCTCTGGTCATACAAACTGCAGATCACTCAATTTAGATTTCATGTCGATCTTAGCCTGTGTAATTGACAGTACCTGATCTCCATACTGTGACGCTAAAGAACCATTTTGTGTTGAAACTGAAAAGAGAACGAAAACGCGATCAGCTGATCAAAAGCATCATCTTCCTCGTGCGTGATGCGTGTCATGTGAGCGCTTACCTGCGTTCTGCTGCAGCTCCTCCATACAAGCTCTGATCACAGACCTGTAGTTCTTACTGATGCTCACAAACCTGCAGGAGACAACGACCGATCAGATCATTTCAACAGAAGCGTGTCTGCTTTCATGCACGTCCACACTATTAGGCACGAGGACTCACTGTGACTTCTTGTTTTTGCTGGGCATGTCCTCTTTGATTTTCTGCAGCCCCACGAAGATGAGATGGGACTCGTTGAAGAGTTTGCGCAGGATGGGAGAGCAGATGTCTTCATCTCTCCTCACGATGTGAACGAACGGAGAGCCTGCAGACCTCGGACCTGAGCAGGAATACAAACACTGATGAGGATTTTGACAGCTTTCATTTCCTCATCCCAGAGTAAAGAGTCTTTCCAGTGTGGATATGAATACCTTGTAGTTTGTAGTTTGTCTCATACACTGACAGATCTCCAGGACCCCATTCAAAACCCAAGTGCTTCTGATGAAATCCAGCGCCGGGAATGAGCTGCAAGAAACACATTATTAATTCTTATATATATATATATATACACATACAATTGTATCTTAAGCATAAATTTATAAATAACAAAATGAATAAAATAAAAAAGAATAACTTAAATTTAATTTAAGTAATGCATACACACACAGATACAGATACACACCGTGGTATATTTTTGTATTACTGTATTACTTTGGAGTACTATGGTATATAAATATAATAATTTAGTGCATCAGTATATATCACAGTATCATGATATTACCTTCGGATACCATGGTAACACCTCAGAGCTACTTTATAAATGCCCCACATTCGTATTCTTCACATAGAAATACTTGCACCGAACATTAATATTCATATGTACAGATGAGAGAGTACGAATCAACAATTACCGTGATACTGAGCTCTACATCCACCTCCTCCATAACACCGAGATATTAAATCCTCCCGAATAATAGCGAAAGTATAATGTTATACCGCTGTATGATCTAAACTACATTCAATACACTCAGCACTCAGAATCGAGCGCCATGAGTCTGAAGGACCCCTGATGCCTGCGCGGTTAGTAGTACGACTCACTGAACGCCTGAGCAAAATACGAACTACTGGTGTATAAATAATACGCTTTCTATTGGTTTCCACTTATATTATTATTATTACGAAGTGACAATTATTGCAGAATTACTAGCAGTGTTTAATGACAAACGTGCCATTCACAAATATATATATATATATATATATATATATATATATGATTTTGCGCCGTAAAAATCCCGTGTGGACCCCTGCTGGTCCATGAAAGTAATTGCAAAGTAAATTGCAGTGGTCCGAGGACTATTCTGGCTATGAACATTAAGTTATATTTAATTATAAGATGCAAAAATGTTACATGTTTTAATTAAAGTCAATATAATCTGTTCTATCTTAAAATTAGGATCAGTGTTTGTTAAGGCAAAAAACTCTGTTCAAGGATGTCATTAACAATATAAATAACACTGTTTCCTTACTTTTAATAGGACATTTTTAATTGTTTAATTTCGATTTTTTTTTAATATGGCGTGTTTTTTTAATTTGTTTATCACATATTATAAATAAAATAAAGCCTGAACTGATTTCAATACAGATTGCAGTGTTTCTTTAAAATACTAAGCTGTTTTATGTACTGTCTAATATATGTTTATATAGCCTAGCTACTGTCATTCCAATGAGGTAAAATGTTTCTCATAAGAGGTTCAGTATGATCTTAGTGTAAATTATATCACTTATTGGTTGTAGTTACCTCACACTCGTTTTGAATTATTAATAAATAATGGCTGAGGTACGTTCAGCTTGATCTGTGAAATACATAAAGAACAAAATGGCTTCCCTTCCCCTTCAGTCCAGTGTGAGCAGAACTGGATCATTATTCCCTCGGAATCAAGACAATTAACACTCAATCTACACCCTTCTCTTGGATGTCCATGCCATATGTCTGTTTATATATGACATTCACTATCAAAATAATCAGCATTTTGAGTTATTTCTGTTCATATTTGGTCCAACATTTTTTTTCAAGAAAAGACACGAATGTGTGCACGAATGCGCGTGCATGTTTCCCCCGGCTCCCTGGTCCCGCGCATGGCATCACGTGACCCGCTCTGGCCAATCGCGACGGAGCGCGATCAACGGACGCACCTCTCGGGATCGCGCACGCAGCGGCTGTTTTTAATCGGGGGCGCGTACGTGCGCGTCCCCGCGGAGTCTTTGTGTGGCGGCGTAGAGAAGCGCAAATACAATAACCATGGCCGACGAGAAACCCAAGGTGAGTGGCGTTTTAAAACGAAGGGATTGTTTATTTTTAGTTAAGAGTTCGAGGGGTTGCGAAAACACGCAAGTGCGCCGATGGTTTGATTTTTAATGTGAAATATCGCGCGTAGTGGATAAATACTGTAACTGCCGCCTCAGAAACACCGGAAGAAGACGTGTGAACGCGCGCGAAGAACTCACACCGCGCGCGACACACGCGTTCAAATTAAAACAAGAGGAACATGCGGTCAAACGATTTTTATAGCAGGCGTATTGCTGATAGAAAGAGAGAGCTCTGAGTATTTGTGGACTAAGTCCTGATGGAAACTAGTTCTCTGTTGGTTTGAGTTGATGATGTGAGTTTGATGCTCATCCATTCATCACGTGAAACACAGCAGCTCGTGCACAATAATGCTAATAAAATTCAAAGCCACAGAATTTAACGTTATATGCATTATGATTTTTTTTTTCATAAGACCACATATTGTGTACCTCAGATAGTTAAGAGGATGTTAGTTTCTGTGCTGACTATGAGACATGTTAGCCTCTGGCTTGCCCTGTTCATGTCATTATCATGTGATTATAACATGAGTTCACTTTCTATTTTAATCATCAAACTACAAACAGCACTCCTACTGATAAATTATAGATGACTCAGCCATTATTTAGAATATTTCAGTATTTTCTGTGGATATTGTTTAGTGGTTGACCAGTATGTCCATCAATAATTAAATGTAATGCTTGCAAGTGAGACGTGTAACGTTACATAAAATATGCAAGGAAGAATGATGCAATATATCATAAACTTTTATGTTTGTACATTTTGTCTTTGTTTTCTCAGGAGGGGGTAAAGACAGAGAACAATGACCACATCAATCTGAAGGTGGCGGGACAGGACGGGTCAGTGGTCCAGTTTAAAATCAAGAGACACACACCTCTCAGCAAGCTCATGAAGGCCTACTGTGAGAGACAGGTGAGGTCACGGGCCACACACAGACACACACACAGACACACACACACACAGACAGACAGACAGACAGACAGACAGATTGTGTTAAATGAAGTCTCAATCTCACAATCTCCTCTGTGAGCTCGTATCAGCTACAAGACCGAAAACTTACTGTCCCGACAGCTTTTTGTAGTCCTGGCTGCACATATTAGAGTTTCTGCCCAAAATACAGAAGCCTGTCGTAATTTCTTCACTGTCATATTGAAGAACCACAATAGAATTTGACTTGTTTGACAACAAAAGACCGACAATAATACAGTGGAACAACGTGAAATATAATGAACAGGGATTAGAAATGACATTTTGGGCAATTCTAAGCAGAAACTGCACTTTTTAAATAATTCATTTGCAATTATTGTTATACAAAAAAGACGTTTGTGTAAAAAATGTACAAGGCAACATACCAACTCATGCATACAAAAACAACACAAAAAAGAGAAAAGAAATAAGCAAATCCCAGAACAATCTTATGAAAAATAAAAACAGCAACACCCATCTACGTTGTAAGCTGTACATATATTAAAAATCAGTTTATATATTACTAAAAGAAAAAAAAATCCTAATTGATTAATTTAGCAAAATCTTTCCACATTTCATTAAAAAAAAAACTAGCCAGTTCTTTTTTTTTTCTTTTTTTTTTTGATGGCATTGCACCTCAAATCTGCATTTGCATTGTATGTATGATTTGTATGTAGTTTTCCTTTATATTTCCAATTTTGAAGAATATTTCATTTCAGTGTCACAAAACAATTCAACAGTGGCACAGCATGTATTGAAGATATACTCAATAATGAAAGGACACATTTTTATGCATGCACTTAGTATCTTAAGCAAGAACATATATCATTTTTTTACATTCAGATGTTCCTTGGCCTCCTTTCCAGGGTTTTTGTGGGACTTAGAGTTTCAATTCACAATTTCACAAATTAATACCTTAAAAATGTATTAAATCAGAGCAGAAAGTCTTAAATTGATAGTCGTGGCATTAAATGTTGCACACACTGCAAATAAAAAATATCTAAACATCCTTAATCGAGATGCATTTACTTGAGAAGCAAAATGAGGATGTGAAGTCTTGTTTTCTGAAAAACTGAGTTTATGTTTAAAACCACAGCAAATATCTGTCAGTGGGGAATGAAAACTTGTTTTACTTTTTGAATTAAGTTCATTTTTCCAAGTCTGTTGGCAGATATTTGTTCTTTTTAATCATAAGCTCACTTCATTTCGATCAATTTCACAGAAATCAAGGCTTCGGTTAATAACGTTCAGTGAAGGAACACTGTGTTAAAAGCTTTGAAAAGAAATCGTTTATTTAAAAATGGATGCATTTGTAACCTAAACATTTGTTTGTGTGTTTGTGTACTTTCTACAAATTGCAAGAATGACTGATATTTGATAGATAAAATTCAAAAGTCATTCAACACAGAACGTGTCATGAAGAAACATACGGGCTCATCCTCGCCTCGCTGTCAATATAACATAAATCAAAGTCATTGAGAAAGGACTGAAGCATGCTGTATTAATCTGAGTGTGAATGTGTCCGATGGGTTGCAGTAGTGTTCAGTCCGCAAGACTGTTATGGCCATCTGCACAAAAGCACTTCAGTCTGATCAATAAACACTAGTGCTTACCTGTATTTCCTCAACAGTCTTACCGGCTGCTGGCTTTATCACTCCCTGATGTCCGCTTAATGCTCCTGCGCGTCCGGCCCAAGGTTTCTCCCATGTCAGAGAGGGTTCGAGAGAGAACAATGACTGTTCACGTATGACAAAGAAAGAGACGCTTGATCACTATTTCTGCTCAGTTTGACTCTGTTCAGCTCATCAGAAGTCCATACAGACTTCGTGTCCATGTGCACAAGCAGGCTTCATTAACAGCTCCCTCAGCGCTGTAAACACACCAGGTTAAGATGAGCCGCGAGGAGACGCGTGATCTTTAGGTCACTAACATGTTTTCCTGGCAGAGGCGGAGGGTTTAATCTCATTGTGGGGCTGTGAGTTTCGCCGGCAGAAGTAGTACAGCGTTTACTGGCGCGCGGGGAAGGAAGCGTCCCTGCCCTGAGGTTCATGTTCATTCAGACGTCAGAAAATCCTTCTCAACAGCGGAAAATAAATATGAAGCTGATCAGCCGTCTTTATCTCAGACTCTGAATTCCCTTTTAGGGGTGGGACGTCCGCTAAGATGTCGGATGCTGTGGATGTACCTTCAGATTAGCATTTTAATGTTGCTTTTGAGCTTTTTAACGTCTTTGGAGTTGCCAGTCGATTCATTAAAAAGAACCAGTCTAATTGATTCATTCATTCAGGATTTATTCGGTTTTTAGTAGAGAACTAAACAATTAAACCGAAATAGTAAGAATTAAAAAAAAGGACATAACAAAATTAATAAAATGTAACTAAAATATAACAAATTTACTAAAATGTAACTAAAATTCAAATGAAAATGAAAGTATAGAAATAAAAGTCAGTCCAAAATATTAATAAAAACTATAGCAGTACATAAATAATAGTACAATTTTGAGCATAATAACATATTTTGAGACTGAGTTGCCAATTGATTCATCAAAAAGAACCAGTCAAATTCATTTGTAATTCAATGTTTATTCCGTTTTCAGCAGGGATAAAATATAAATATTAGATGAAACACTTAAATTCAGTTAGTTGTCAAAGCAACATTTAAAATTTAAGTTCAAGCACAACATTTACTAACTGTAATTAAATAAAAACTAAAACTGAAAAATAAATTAAGTCTAAATAGTAATAATAAAAAATGAATAATAATGTCAAAAGCACATAAAATTACTAAAGGTTTTACTAAAATGAAAATGAAAATGTGAAAGTATAAAAATGAAATCACACTGGTTGTCAGTGGAGCAGTGCCGCTCCTGAATGAAGTGAGAATCACTGGACTGATGTACGCTTGTGTTTTCAGGGACTGACGATGAGGCAGATTCGATTCCGGTTTGACGGACAGCCGATTAACGAGACAGACACGCCCGCACAGGTATGACATCACAGACTCTCATTCTGTGTCCACTTTTGTTTCTAATAGTGACATCACTCTGTACAGGTGTGGTGTGTGCAGGTGTTTTTAGATCCAAATTAAACCTATTTATTGTAAAGAAAAAGGCAAAGCTCATAAAACCTGTTTGTGAATATTGAGGTCATTAAAAAATGCCTAGTGGCATTGTTAAAAACTTTAAGAAAATGAAGCTTAATTGCATTGTTTTCACGATAATTACATAGGTTCCTTCCCAACTGTCAATTACTGCAATGAAAAAACATTTGTATTTTGTAATTAAAATATATTTTTACATTCAGATCGATTCAAGTTTGTGTAGCCCTTTGCTCAATATTGCTTCAAAGCAGCTTCATGGAAAAAAGTGTGTTTATATGTGTGTGTGGACATTATAAATGTTTTAAAGGTATTGTATCTGGAAACAAAAACTAGATCAACTGTAGGTCAACTGTAATTTGCAGTCTTAAAAGGCAGATCTGAGCCACCATAAACAGTGGTATAAAATTGTTTTAAGTAAGTTAGGGATGTGCGCGACGACTAATTTGACTGTTGTTTAAACGAAAGTATTGTATCCGACTAGTCTAAAAGCAAGAAATCCCCAAAAGATGGTAAGAAAAAAAAAACTCTTGTGCGTGCGTGTAGCATAGCCTATATAATAGCCTATATTTGAAATACTTAATCTATGAATCACACTGTCAAATCCCTGAAT